GGCATGGATAAATGCCAGGTGCCCATCAAAACCGCTCTGTCATTCCCTCTCCTCAGCTGGACAGGGGAGAGGAAATATGATGAAAGGCTCGAGGGTCCAGACAAGGACAGGGAGAGATCACTCACCAGTTACTGTCACGGACAAAACAGACTGAACTTGGAGAGAAAAGGAAGTTTAATTCATCACCAATCAAATCAGAGTAGGATAGTGAGAAATAAGTACAGATCTTAAAAGCACCTTCCCCCCACCCCTCCCTTCTTCCCGGGCTCAACTTCACTCCCATTTCTCTCCTTCCTCCCCCTGAGCAGCGCAGGGGGACGGGGAATGGGGGCTGCGGTCAGTTCATCACCTGTTGTCTCTGCCGCTCCTTCCTCCTCAGGAGGAGGACTCCTCACACTCTGCCCCTTCTCCAGCGTGAGGTTCCTCTCATGGGCGACAGTTCTCCACAAACTTCTCCAACGTGAGTCCTTCCCATGGGCTGCAGCTCTTCACAAACTGCCCCAGCATGGGTCCTTCCCATGGGGTGCAGTCCTTCAGGAACAGGCTGCTCCAGCGTTCCTTGCCACACAAACCCATAACCATGGTACTCCAGGTGCTGCCTCACTGGTGCCGAGTACAGGGGCACGATCACCTCCCTACTCCTGCTGGCCACACCATTCCTGATACACGCCAGGATGCCGTTGGCCTTCTTGGCCACCTGGGCACACTGCTGGCTCATGCTCAGCCGGCTGTCGACCAGCACCCCAAGGTCCTTTTCTGCCAGGCAGCTTTCCAGCCACTCCTCCCCAAGCCTGCAGTGCTGCATGGGGTGGTTGTGACCAAAGTGCAGGACCCGACATTTGGCCTTGTTGAAACTCATACGATTGACCTCAGCCCATCGATCCAGTCTGTCCAGATCCCTCTGCAGAGCCTTCCTACCCTCAAGCAGATTGACACTCCTGCCCAGCTTGGTGTCATCTGCAAACTTACTGAGGGAGCACTCAATCCCTTCATCCAGATCGTTAGTAAAAATGTTAAACAAGACCAGACCCAAAACTGAGCCCTGGGGGACACCACTTGATTTTCATCAACTATAAAAAAGTCATAGTTTTGTTCAGGTTTTTTTGTGAGACTAGACTCTTACTGACTATCTGCTCTCACTTTCCTGTATCAATTCAGTTCTTTCTACACATTTAGTAAGTCCTTTATTACCTGCTCATTCACCTTCATTACAAGTGTACTTTCAAGTCTTTTCACATGGTGTCCCTCGAGATGTCTGCGAACTGGCAGCTGGCGCAGCTTCGCAGGCTCGGGGAGAAGAGCAGTAGCTATACCAGTGCAGGGAGGTACGGGCATTTCTGATTAGGTGTAGCAGACGGCGCCACATTCCTTGCTCTAGGGCCAATGCCAGCCTCATTGGACCAATGCTTATATTCATATTAATGTTCTGTGGCGTGCAATGTTTCTCCCTCCATTCAAATTTTCATCTAATCCCAGCTTGATCAAATGAGATCTGCAGCAGCTAAGTCATATTAGAAAAAATTAGGCCATCAATCCATTATTAAGCTGGAAAGTATTTTATATTCTGTGTTTGCCCTTGGGGTGTCTCAGAACATTCCACGGCTGATGTGTTCTGAGTATGAGAGAGCTGGGGTTTAGGTGCTAAAAGATGTGTACAGATACTGAGGCAGTTGTGGGTTTTTTTAAAATGTTTGGTTTCCAGCCTTGCAATTAGCTAGAGCCAAGGCCTCGGTGTTTGTGACTGCGATCTTTACGGTTCTGTTGGCCAAGGGGCTTTTGAAAAAACTCTCCTGGCCATTTTTATGCATATAGCTGCTATATCTAAGAGGTAGCGCCAGTTCTGTAGCACTGGGAAATTTTCCCGAGATGTAGGTGAAGTTCCTTGACTTGTGTCCTAGCAAAGACCAGCATACACACTTGGAAAATGGTATGTTTGTTATATGTTCTGCTCTTGATAATATGTTCTATCCAACACTCTCTGAAAATCCATCCTCAGTTTTTACTGTATAGGTCTCTGTGTTAACTGTGATGCTTGCCAAAATGACCATCTTTTGTGGATGCTTATTAATTTCCTTCATTAATCTTCTCTTTTGCAAATAAAATAGATTTTTGTCTTGAGATCCTTCATGCAGCTTATTTCACAGAATCACAGAACAGCCGATGTTGGAAGGCACCTCTGGCAATCATTGAGTCCAACCCCCTACTCAAAGCAGGGGCAACTACATCAGGTTGCTCAGGACCTCCTTAGTCAGGTTTTGAATGTTTCCAAAGACAGAGACTCCACAACCTCTCTGGACAACTGGTTTCAATGTTAAGGAACCCTTACGGAGTTCTTAGCACCAAACGCTGACTCTTTCAGATACGTACCGTGAAGCATCCGAAATCATTAGCTGATTGTCAGGACCTTGGCCTGAGTAACTAACTGGCTTTGGTGAGTGATCCAGGCATTAGTGATATCTTTTCAAAGGCATGACTTAGTTCCAGAATAAAAAATTATTCCAGTTCTGACTTGAATGTTGTTGTTCTGAGTGTTGAGGGGGAAGAAAGTATGGGGAGGATTGAATTTTCTTAGTTCAGGTCACTTACTGCATTCTTGAAATGCCACATTTGGATGTTTGCCTTCTTGCCTCATCACTGCCTCAACATGTCACTTTGGATATGGTGCAAGAAGGAGTTAATTTAAGGCAACTTCTGCAAGCTGCTGCAGATAGTGTGAGTCAAAGACATTTTTTTCCAATGGCATTGTGCTTTGAGCCTAAGCCACCGAGGAACTGGCATGCCAGGAGTTGAAAAGAGACGTGTCTGTTTCGTGCACACTCAACTTCCTAAGGCAATGACTGGGGTAGAAAACCGATTTGAACATGAAACAAAGAGTTGCCCAGAGGAAGTAAAGAATAATGACTATATCCATGGCCAAAAAGAGGTGGAGGGCACTGGATGAGATGCATGGCCTCTGTCTGTCCTTTCGTATTATTGTTCCTGACTCCCTGCCCTAAGATGACATGCGTGTTGGCACTCTCTAAACTGATGACGTGTTTATTTTTTGTTTGCTTTCTGCTGCTAAATTGACATTACAGGCCATACTCTTGGACTGCTGTACATCCTTATAAATTGTTTTAAAAAGTTTTAGTGTGATAAGATGATAGAAAAATTGAATTCATTATTACAGTCTGTATCACCAGGGGAACTGGACAGCAGGCATTGATCCGTAAGAGACTAATTTCCCTATTTTGTTATTACATTAACCCATAGAATTCTTCTTATTTATGATTTCAAAGAAAGTTTTCTTAATCAAAAGATCATCCTCTGTAGCGTATAGTGCTTGAGAGACAGAAAATGTATGAACCCTGTCATTTTTTATCTAATCAATGACATCTTGCTTTGTTAATAGTAATATCCCAGTATTTTACATTGCATCATATCAAGATCCCGCTAACCACTGCACAGAACCACTTGTGAGTGGAGTCTAGCAGTTAGTGAAGGGTATACTGCGAAGTGCTTGGTTTGGGGCAAATATTATGCACCCTTTTAAATTCTTGTCATCTTAAATTTTTAATTAAAATAATCATAAAATTTCTGTAGTCATTGCTGGTTTGTAAGGAAAGAGTTTGAATAAGGGCCTTATCTTGCTGTGTTGAGTAACGCTTTATGATGAGCTAAATCGTACCGTTCATCCAAAAGCCACACAGTAATGGTAGCACAGAGGATGCTGTGCTGCAGAGGGAGGAACTTGCTCGTCACTGTTTTCTTCTGGTTTCACAGTAAAGCCTGAGAAATCAAAGAAGGGATTTTTAATAATTAAACGCACTTGCAGTCAGAACCAGAGGAGGCAAAAAGTTGACTCTGTTTAAAAGAGTGAACGAAACAACATGCCGTTTTCTGAGGTAGTATCAATGTAGCTCCAGTGCACTTTGCTGGTATTGGCCAGGGCACCTTTGGATAGCAAATACAGATAGTGGGAATCAAGGGTCAGTAGAGGGTCACAGTGCATTCTGCCCTGCTCACAACAAGGGCAAAGACCAATGAGAGTGAGGTTTTGGTTTTCTTCTTAAGGTAAAGCTCTGCTTGATGCTTTGGTTCTCTCTTTGGTCCAAATATTTCTGCAGTGTTGGCTCAGCCAGTGTGCTGCCTTTCTCCTGTTTGCTTGTAGCGTGGTGATGCCCAAAAGATGGAGTCAGAGTTCCACTAGCAGAATCTGGGGAGTGTGGGTTGTTTGATTTTTTTAACATCTACAATCCATGTGGGACCGCAGTTCAGCATTACCCTAATGGAAAAGAGAAGTCACAAACTGGGAGTGACTGCCTGCAAAGACCATAGGCTCCTTATAGTTGGGCAAATGTGGGTTTTTTTATAGTTGGGCAAACATCTTTTTCAGAAATGATTTAGATATAGCTGATGGTGCAAAGATAAATCTCTGCCTTTTTTTTCTGTTTTGCTGTGATAGGTTACTGTTGAGAGGGATTTGGAAAGCTGGAGCACGAAGTACAGGGTCCTCCTGAGAAATGGTGCTATTACACTGTAGACATGTCTGAATTGCAACAATATTCATCCTCAGTATATCTTAAATTGACTGAATTGGTCACATTCACTTTCACTGGTCGTTTCTTGACAGTAATTTAGATGCTTGAAAATAGGTGAGGGTCTGTTTAGACACCTGGACCAGTGGTAGACTGATGGGGGATATCCTACCTGTGGGAGACCAGCTGGCACTGGCTGTATAAAGAACAGCAACTAGTTGTATAAAGTGGCACAAGATACTTAGTTTACATGTCTAAATGTCTCACAAAGCATCAAAACAATATATAAAATCAAAAGAAAAGGGAGGAATGGAACTTAGATCTCTGACAGTAAGGACGTACCTAACCAATGAAGCGATACCCTCTCAGACTGAGGTATTTCAAGGCTGAGAATTTTTGCTGTAGCAAATTAGCCTGTCAGAGTGAGAGTATTGCATTAATGGAAATCCTTGGGTGATTTTTCTTTTTGACTTTTGCATCCAGGCCGTGCTTTGCTGAGACTTACTGACAAAAAGCTTGAACGAATGGGCATTGCCCAGGAAAGCCTGCGACAGCACATTCTGCAGCAAGTCCTTCAGCTGAAGGTGAGAGAAGAAGTCCGAAACCTCCAGCTGCTTACACAAGGTATGAAAAATAATTTTGATATGGACAGTTACTGAGATCAGGTAGGAGAAGCTTGCCTGAGGGCATTAAAGGTGACTTGACGTTCTCCCACAAGAAATGATGCGTGTAAATGTCTCATAGATTCCACATGCTTTCCAAGTTGGGAACAAAAGGTAAAATAATGCATAAATAAATAGAGATGTTCAGCTGCCTGTTTTGCATGATGAATAGGCTCCATCTACAGCTTGATGGTAGCCTTACTTAACTGTCTGCTTACTAAGATGAAAATAATTACATATAAAGGGCACAAGTAGTGAACATGCTGTCTTTACAGACATTGTACATTTTGCATTAATTGTTTACTTTCAGTGTTAGAGAAAAGAGTAATCTCTGTAACCTGTTTTATCGTAAGAGCTGTCAGTGGAAAATTACCTGTTAGACTGTTTTTTGCAGATGACTGATTGCTTTTTCATGTTGGAGTAATTCTATTGACTTGAATAGTGTTGCATCTAATTTATGCTGCTAAGAAAACGCAAAACTGGGCTCAATATGGAGATCTTGATTAGAAGACAGGGAAGAAGAATTAACAAGAAAAGCTCATACATATTTTCGAAATGAGATTAAGATGTTTTATAATGACTTGTGTTATTAGCTCTCTGTTAAGGCTTTTTAACAGCTGTGGTAACCGAAGAAAAAGTCATTGTGGTAACAGTTAGACTTCGTCTACTATATATCTGCAATACTTTCTCAATATTAAATGTTGTTTGGTAGTCCAGTGAGATAGCATAAACTGCATACTTCTGTGGTGTTTTGGTTCAGTGCCCGTTATATGTCATATCATATGGAAAAAATAGAGTTGTTCAGTACACGCAGTGCATTTTTAACAAAATGTCCTTCACACATGACATTATGTTTCTGATTAAGCCTTGCTCACTGCGTTTGGGGAAAAACTGTCTGATTAGTTGAGTAAGCTGCATTTTATCTGAAAGAGCCAATGTTTCAACTGAATTGTTCCTTCAATCCTTGTGGGTTGTGCTGAGTAGCGTTAGGGCTCCTTCATTTTGCCATGATCTGTGAACGTGACCTCACCTCGTCTTGTGTCATGTCAGAAGGAGATCGTGTGCTGAAGCATCAGTTCCTTTCCCAGGTGTTTAGAGCTCTTCCTTTTCCCTTCATCCATTCATCCTTTCATCCATTATTCCTACGTCCTTTTCGCCGGTGTTGGCTGGGTTCTCTCTTGCCCTACATCTGGAGTGTTACCTGAGAGTTTGCCAGACTGTGAAGTTCTGGTCACCAACTATCACTTATGGAAGTTGGGATTTTATTGATATGGGACAATGAAGACCAACTAGCTATAAATTTGGGTCAGTCGATCGCCGCAGTCCAAATAGATTTCTCCATAAATCTGTATTTGGCATTGAGGACTGTGCTTCCAGGCTTCTCCTTTATTCTCTCTGGTTGCCTTCATCAACTGGTGTATGACTCATAATCAGTCAGACAGTGGCGACTGCCATTTCAAGGAATTCAGGGCAGCATCCTTTGAGATTTATACCTTGCCCATGCAGCTGAGGATATAATTTTGGACTTTGGTAAGAGCATGAATAAACAGATGCCGGACTATGAGGGACAGTTTAGTGGTAGATGTACTGAGGTGTCTTTAATGTGGTCTCTCTGCCATGTAGAAAGAACATTGTTATTTAGTCTGATCACGTAGAGGCATGCCATCGCGTGCTTTACGAAAGCCAGCACAAGCTTACAAAGAGCTGGGGGTGTGCGGCTCCTGCTGTCTTCTGGTCAGTACTGGGCCCAGCCTTGTTCAAATTCTTCATCAACGACCTAGATGAAGAGTTAGAATGTACCCTCAGCAAGTTTGCTGATGACACCAAACTGGGAGGTGTAGTAGATACACCAGAAGGCTGTGCTGCCATTCAGCGTGACCTGGACAGGCTGGAAAGTTGGGCAGAGAGGAACCTGATGAGGTTCAACAAAGGCAAATGCAGGGTCCCGCACCTGGGGAGGAACAACCCCATGCATCAGTACAGGCTTGGGGTGGACCTGCTGGAGAGCAGCTCTGTGGAGAGGGATCTGGGTGTCCTGGTGGACGAGAGGTTGACCATGAGCCAGCAGTGTGCCCTGGCTGCCAAGAAGGCCAATGGCATTCTGGGGTGCATTAGGAGGAGTGTGGCCAGCAGGTGGAGGGAGGTTCTCCTTCCCCTTTACACTGCCCTG